CACACACACACACACACACACACACACACCTCAACATTAAATCACCAATCGTAAAATAAATAGTTTTCCAACACGACCTAACACCTCGAAAAACACTCACAACTCATCGTAACATATTCTGCTCTCATCAGTGAAAGCCGCTCTGCAGCAGTTTTATCCTCCACTCTGAACATCAGGCTCCACATTCCGCACTCGCTCGAATGATGTTTATTGATAGAGACTGCTGGTGATCAATAAATGCCACTGAAGCAAAAGGAGACTTATAAAAATGATTTAAAACCTCTATATTTTTAACCCTCTGCTGTATGTGCACACGTCATTTGATAGTGACACTTGCAAACGCTGGGAAATAACTTCCAAGCAGCATTTAGGATCGCATTAAAATTATGGTTGACACAAGAGCGGGCAGAACCATTGGTTGGCGGTAATATTGGCGGATATGAGCCTTTCACAGACATCTATCACAGACCGGTATTACTGTCTGTTGATATGCGCTGATATGAAAACTTTGATTTGACAAAATAAACAATGCAGGAAACATTTATGTTTACATATTTCTTATAAAAAGATTTATATTTTCTTTGGCGTCATGTCGTCTATCTTAATACATAGCCTATGATCGACACGCTCCCTTTGGTCAAATGTGAATCCAATTTAAAAAACAAAAGTGAAATGAAACATTATTAATCTCTTATGCATTCTACTTTCTAAAATTCAACCAAAACAACAAAAGTATAATTTCCACAAAGATGTTTGTTTGTCTAAGTCAACAATTTCCACATGTAGGATTTGATAGTAGAAGAAAACTGATGACTGACCATTGTCTTCAGGTCTTTTTCTCTTCAAACCATGATGGAAATCTAAACTCAGCTCTTTCCCGAGCACAAAGGACGAGTTCTTGTGAAAGCAAAGACACATCACTTCGCCAACAAATCATTTCAACGGTTGAAGAGTTAATTATGGTGCTCTCTACCATCTCTACCATATGATTTTAGACGTTTTTACATAATCACTGTAAGTCAGAATGGAAACAAAACCCATATCAAACCCTGCCATTTAGTCCAGCTGGCCTCTCACTCAAACAATAATATACATCCTGTGAACACAGTAGTGTACAGTATGTTATTGTTTGGGTGAGAGACACAGTGTATCACGTACCAGCCGGGACACTCCGCAACTCACGCACCACAATTCCAAGAATGTACATTCAGATGTGTCACGACATGAAGTGACCACACGCTGCAATTTTACACACACATCTTCAGGATGTTTCAAAAGAAGAGCTGATCCTCGACAAAACACAAACATAATAAACATTTAAGCTGCGTTCAGTAAACGTGAGAATTTGCTGCTTTTAACATTAGACATGTTTACATGGACACAGATATTCCAGTTTTATCCAGGTTAAGAAAATAGTCTAGTCGTGTAAACAGCAGTTTCTGGTTATCTTCACCAGAACAAGGTCATTATCAGAATAAGCTATAACCTCATCAAAACATGTAGAGTATTGCGACCTTAGTCACATACATGACGTATGTGTCTGTCTACATTTTAATCTCATTATATTTATAACCCATAAATGATGCATATAAATCATGGTTGACTCACGTATGACTTCCACTTTGTAGGTGGCGTTGATCTCTCCTGCTCTGTTGGAGACGTGGCAGGTGTATTTCCCACTGTGCTCTGGGGTCAGGTTCTTCAAACTCAGAGTCCACTTCTTCTTCTTCCCGTCTTTTCCGCCGTCTTCTTCCACCAGCGGCCGACTGTCCTTTAGCCAGACGATGTCGGGCCGAGGGTTACCGCTGGCCGTGCACTTCAGACGCACTGAGCTACCCACCGGGCGAGCGATGACACGCTTCCTCATCTTTGCCGGCTGGGTAAAACGTGGACGTACTGCATGAGGAAAGAGGGGCACAGGAGGAGAATTGAAACAGTGACCACAGATCTTTTATTGGAAAATAAGTTTGACAGTTATTAGCTGCTTCCAGGATGTCGGAGCATAATTTAAAGTTAGAATTTCAATGACGAGAAAAAAAACTCTTTCTGCCACTGAGCTGATGCAGATGTGAAAAAAAGGAGAGCAGAAAAGGAGAGAATGGAGGGAGCAAGAGATGAAATACAAACGGTTTAAACAGTTTTATATTTACAAGCACAGCTCTGTTCTTCAGACCAGAGAAAGAACAACGGACTGGCAAAGGAATTCATCAGATTCCTATTTGACACTTTTATTGGACGTAACAAGTGATCAAAGCTACATCAACTGAAGAGGCGGTGACACAGAGGGAGGGTTCAAGCCTCCTGTGTTTCAGATTATTTTACTTTTACACTTCCTACACACCTTGTTTGCTATAAGAACATTTTTTATATTATTACCATTTTGTCTATCTCAGAGATTTGAGTGTGTAGGGAAAACAGAGTCTCATATCTCCACGAGAGAGAGCCGACAGTGATATGATGATCCAAACACACCCCTGCTCACCCCACCACGATTATGTTTTATTGTATAATATATATTATCCTACTGTATAATAGATGTTACATTGTATTATTAATGTTATATGGTATATTATAGAGCTGCACGATATTAGGAAAACTTGCGATATGCGATAACATTGTTTAATATCGTGATGATAAACAGTCCCTGACTAAAGACACAGAGATCACGGACAGCTCCACAGCCAGGAGAGGGCGCACAGCCCGGCCGCAGCGCCACCATGTCGGGGCAAACACCAGGGAGCCATGCACAGCTCCACTAAGTCCACTTACAGTGTTAATATGGGGTTGTTTCATACATGTTTGCACCGAGAAAAGTTCATAAACTGTGTTGATATGTTTATACATGTATCTGATCACACTATGTGTGTGTGTGAGAGAGAAAGAGATTTATTGTATGATACACACCTTTTTAAAATTGATATATATTATAGTTTCATTAATGTAAAGTATAGTTTTATTAATGTGTAGTATAGTTTTAATTGATGTATAATATAGTTTTATTGATGTATAATTAATTATTTTGCTAAAATAATACATTGTTTTATATTATTTTATTGTTATATTATAACGCTTTGGCAATATTGTAATGCACAGTTATGCCAATAAAGCTT